GGCCGGTGCGCCGGTAGGTTGGGAAGTCGTGGGGCGGGCCGCTGCGCAAGTACTGGCGGTGGCCTCTGTGGCAGGTGGGGAACCTGAGGCCGCGCGCCCAGGCTCTCGAGCCCTGCACCCGCACCAACCTCCCGAAAGGCTCCCAGGGGGTGTGGATCGAGACCCAGAAAGTGGAGAATCGGCAGTGAGGGCGCTTGGCGGCTCCCGCAAGGGAACCTGAACCCGGCCCACCTCTGCACTTGGGGAACCCAGAGAAGCCACGCGAGTGGACAGTCGGGAAGTGGGACTGGCCCTGAGTCCTTGCGAGTAAAAGAAAGAATCTGATCGCCACGACTCCCTGCGAACTCCCCACCCAGGGCAGCCGTGCTGGCACCCAACTCCGGCTCCGGGCAAGCCAACCGTGGACACGCCCAATCTAGGATCCGGCTGGGAGGTGACCCTGCGCCCCCCACTCACCCCCGCGCCCGCACTCACTCCTCCAGCCGGCGGAAGGCCTGCGCGCGCTCAGCCTGCAGCTGGTGGATGCGCTGCACCAGCGTCCGGATCGGGGCATCTTTCTGCGAGGCGGGGGGGCACGGCTAGGGCATGAAGCCGGCGTCCCTGGGCCTGCGCCGCCCGCCCCGCTCCCGTCCCTGCTCGGGTCCGGGCTCACCCAGGGCCACGCTGGCTCTTCGCGCCCTGGGACTCCGGTGTCCGCCGGGGCATCGCTAGGGACCGCGGGGACGGCTAGCTCTGCCGCGGCCTCGGTGGTGATCATGACTGCGCATCCCCAGCCACGCTCCACAGCTGGCCGTTCCGCTGCGCCTGGCGCCCCCTGCAGGCCGGGAGGACTGTGACCGCAGTCACCGGCGCGGCAACCCGACCTGCTGATCCAGAGACCTGGTTCTCCACTTTCCACACACCCTGCTCGTCTGTGCCAGACCAACGACCCCCACCCACTTTTCCTTTTCTTTTATTTTTTTGGAGAGGTTTTTGCTATAGGGCGCGTGCGCTCGCCAGACAGAGAGAGAGAGACAGAGACAGAGACAGAAAGCGAGAAATCACCCCCCAGGGGGGATGGCCACGCCGCAATCCCTTCTCCTCCGTTCTCCTCTCGGGATCTTGGGCACGCGCGCACACGCGCCTGGCGTGAGTTTAAGCCACCGGGTCCGGGACTCGAACCACTGTGGACTATGTGGGAGTCCAGTGACATAGCCATTACGCTAACTGCTGTTCCCCCACTTTTCCTTTTCAAAATTTGCTGGAGAGCCGGTGCAATCGCTGGAGAAAGAGGCTGTGAGAAAGCACCCCCTAGGGCGTAGGGCCACACCACAGTCCCTTCTCTGGGTACACAGGCATCTTTTTTAAAAAAAATCATCATTTAATTCCATTAGTTTTTTATTCTAATAATTATTTTATTTATCTTTATCTATTTTATTTTGACCAGAGAGGGACAGAGAGAGAAAGGGAAAGTGAGAAAGCAAGCTGCCAGGTCCAGGACTCGAACCCCGGTGGGCCATGTGGGAACTCAGTGCCATGCCACCTGTCAGCTCACCATTATTATTTTTTATAATTTGACTAGAGAGAGGGTAAGTGAA